TTTTTTCTCTGACATAAGATTTAAAAAAATTTGTGCGTCAATACAAGTTAATAGAAGCCGAAAAGCTATTATATTAAAAAATCATAAATAAATATAAAAAAAATATAAAAAAATCTATTATATTAAATATTAAAAATCACATCAAAATATCATTATTACAATATATTTTTTTAAATAAAATCAATTCTCTTCCTCGTAGTTACAACATGCTAGATGACAAAATGCATAAATAGACGGACGGCGTAAATTAATTTACGCCGCATAAAAGCAAAATATTCAACAATAAACGTTTGTTAGATCAAACATTTGCTCGCAATGAATGTTTTAATGCGTATCTCTTTGGAATTTTATTGATCGCAAATACTATTATAAATTGTGGCGCTTTTAGCGACGTCTTTATGAGTCTCGCGCGGAAGTACCATTAGTCTTCACCTATGAGGCTGTCATCACAAAAAAAGATCTTTCTTTTCAGCGGACTGGACGAGCTCTCGTCTTCCCAGTGCATCGATGTTCTCCAGAGTCTGGCGCATTTCGGGCGGACCGTCGTATGCTCGGTGCACACGCCCAGTGCGAGCATATTTAAGAAATTCGATCATGTTTACGTTGTCACCGATGGACAATGCGCTTATAGGGGTACCACGGATAACGTGGTGCCGTTCTTGCAAAGCATAGGCATAGAATGCCCGAAACATTACAACCCAGCGGACTTCAGTGAGTTATATACATAAGTCCATATACGGAAATCTAATACCATCTGTGTAATCATGTTTATTCGTGATGCAATGTGTGAAATAGACATTTGCGGTAGACATTTGAAAGATGAAAATGTAGCCATCGGCAATTTTAAATTACTAAGATATTACTATTCATGATGCATATAATTTATTTGCATCTGCTCATTAAGTAATGCAGGTTTAAAAATGTATGTTACAATATAAGTATACAATTCTGAAATCTCTTTTCATAAATAATGCCATAAATAATTTAATTAGTAAGAGTAAAGAATTAATTAATAAAAAATTTATATACATAATTTAATTTCGATCAAAACCGATTTAATTTCACATTAAAAAAAAAAGATGATATTTGTAACAATTGTAATTATAATTACATATTACTATAATTATAATTATTTTTGGTTTCCAACTATATATATTCATTATTATACAATAAGATTGGAAATAAGACCGTTTATGTTAGATATATTACTTTAAATAGAAAGTGTCACTACGGTCTGAATGTAAAGATGTTGAACTATTATATATATAATATGAATTTAAATGAATTACTTTCAGAAATTATAATTGCGTGCCGATATGATTGTCGAACTTTCAACACAATCAATCTGAAATATTAATAATCCCCCAAATTTCCCAAATTTAATCTTAAAAAATTGTAATAAAATTATTGATTATTATATATTAATAATAAATAACTATATATAGTGATAATATTATAGTGATAATAATCATAATCATAATAATATGTAATTATAAATACTAAATAATTTTTCTCTCTGTAATGTAAATTGTGTTGACTGTAGAACTTTAAATATTTACAAGTAAATATCTACAAAAGGTCAACATCTTCAAAAATCAACTTTTACATATATTAATTATCAAGGTCACCATTCTGAGTGAGCTCCAACAAGTTTTAGCCGTCTCTCGTTATTCGTTATAAAGTTTTATATATAAAAAAGTTTGAAAAATAATCTTTTTTACTATATATAAATATATATAAAACAGAAATTTTTGGCTTTAAAATACATTTTACGCCTTTCCACGTGATTTCTACCTCACTACCGTATCTTTTGTATTCCGAGCGTTCTAAGTAGCTTGCCTCGATAGTCTAACAGGAGACTATCTCGGTTTATATAAATTAATGAAAATTCTTGATATCAATAAAAGTTGATAGCATAAGATGTAAATTAAGGAAAAAGGAAAGAGCGTATAGGTCATAAATTCCACGAAATTTAGTGTTATAGTGTGTGATATTATAAAAGTTCTAGAACGGCTAATATCTCAAAAAGTATTGATTTATCTAAAAAAATGTTTGAAACAAAAGTAATAGGGTTTTAAAAAAGTTATTAGATAATGATATCATTTGACCTTGGAATGATCTTGGAAAAATGCTTTTAAAGTGAATACAAAAATCTTAAACGAAATTCCCTTTTTCATAGCATATCTTTACAGATGCTGTTGAGATGTTTCCAGAACAGTTTAGTTACAAATATTTTTTTCTTTATAAGAATTTTCCGAATTATAGCATTTGAAAGTTACAGCCGACATTAGCATTACACTTACGTATGTATTATATAAATA